AGCACTGGACACAGCCCTGGAGGGGCCTCAGCAGGGCCAGCACAGGAGGAAAACTGGTCCAGAGGGAAACACAAGCCCAGCTGAAAGAGCTGCCTCCACACTCCAGCAGTAAAAAGCAGGAGTTTCCTGAACTGAAGAAAATAACTCAGGAGTCCATACTATACTCTTAAATATGGTTTAATACTCTTCTCCATTTCTGTACATCACAACACCAAGATATCACTGCTTGGGATCTCTCTGCAGAGGCTATATAGTAGCGAAGGCTAGGAATTTCCACCCCTGTTGAACGTGTTTTGCATGTGTAAGTGTAATACATATCAGTATATATTGATATACACATCAATATATAATGCAATATATATCACTGAAGAGAACACATTGATTAAAGAAATACAAAAAATTTGGCATCATTTCCAAACTTAAATAGTAAAAATAAAAACTACAAAAAGGAGTTGCATACCCTAATGTATCATGTGAAACAACAAGCAGTATATTCAAAAATGTAAATTTACATCCAATTTTTGTGGTCTTGTCATGTCACATTAGACCCATTTACAATGGCAAAATCCAGAACATACCGCTGTGAGGGCCACGGGGGTGCTCAGACCCAGGTCTGGGCACAGCCACGGCACACCCAGTCCCACCTGCCGTGAGAATTCCAGCCTGGATGTGAGAGCAACAGCAAAGCCACCTGCCAGGTTAGAGACCAGGGTTACAAATTGTATTGCTGACAGGAATTTTGGACCTCAAAGAACAGCGTGGCAGAGATTTTAAGACAAGCTCCCCCTCCGTTCAAGTGAACCAGGATTGCGGGACAGGCGGCGGAGCCGGGGCAGGACGGGCCCAGCTCCCTGCAGAGTGCCAGGGAACAGAGCCCTGGGAAGAGGCAGGACATGTGCATGTGCATGATCTGTGCCAGCGCTCCCCTGGCCTGCAGGACCCCACGGGACAGGAGGGACACAAAGCCTTGGGGCCCTGGGGCACCCAGAGCCTTTAACCCACGAAGGGCATGACCCCTCCAGGACAGGCACTGCCTTGGTGCTGCGAGAAGGTGTCCCCAGGGCCTGTGCCAGCGCTCCAGGGCTTGGTATCTCATGTTCCACACCCCCAGCACTAAAGTTTCAGCCTTCACTGACTCAGTATTCCTGTAAAATACCCACTTCCCTCAAAGAACTGTGGGTTCAAATTCACATAATCAAGGAAACCTTACGCAGTCCTAAAGCAAAAAAGAAAAACTTACTGAGGAACAAAAAGCCAAGTGTACCTTGCTTCACTGAAATCTCATGTTTATTTTTTTGTCAAGACTGAAAAAAAAAAAAAAAAATAGAATTCCTGAAGGCTGCACTGCTCAAATCCAAATTAAGCCCAAGACTTCAGCAGCATTTCCATTGCAATCCATGAAGTGCATTTCCTAGTTTGTAAGAGCAGTGTTTCTGCAAACAGATTAAAGCACGTTTGGCTGGTGAGCCTCCCCAGACCATTGGAATTTGCAAGCCACACGTTATGAACTAGCACTCGGGTCGGTGCCTCCTCAAGCTTTTGAAGAGAACGGCTCCAACCTCCTTACATTTCTTCTGCAGTCTAAGCTGAGAATGCCATGTAAATGGGTCACAGCGCTGCCAAATGCAGCAATTGATTTCTCCAATCAAAGTATAAAGAAACAAACCAGTAGGATCTTACTTCTATTAATTTTCGAAGGAAGAGGTTTACAGCAGTTAATGTATCATGAAGGTTAAAAAAATCATTTCCATAAAATACAAGAGCAACCAATTTCACCATTGAGTAAAAGTAAAAACTGGGATTCTTTTTTTAAATTAGTCCAAAGTGGCATATAGGAACTTAGTAGTTTGCTGCTGTACTGACACTATGACAAATCAAAGTGTAGGGTTTTGCTTTCTTAAATCCAATGCTCGTGGATCAAGTTCTGGAAATGTTCCAATTCTAAGGCAGGGATCTGTTGTGTTTTCCACCATGAGTTTGCTCCTTGGGTTGGATGCTGGAGGGGCGAGGCACGTTTTGCCGGACCCAGGTCGACTACCTAGTAGTCATCAAGGTCAAAGAATTCATCGTCTCCTCCTTGGTATTCCATGCCCTGGAAGTCCACTCGGTACCGCAGGATACCTGGCAAAGACAACACATTTAGCTGTGCACACCTGAGCCTGAAAGAGTCCTGAGCCCTGCCAGCACACACGCAGCTGGAGTGACAAATCCACGTAGGACTCACAGCCAAGAGGAATTCCAAAAGGAATACCCACCTGCCCAGCCAGGCCAGGTTCCTCTTGGAAGAGCTGTGGCTATTCCAGAATCATATCACAGAATTATGGAAGAATTATCCAGAATTATGGAATGGTTTGGGTTGGAAGGGACCTTAAAGATCATCCAGTCCCACCCCCTGCCATGGGCAGGGACACCTTCCACCAGCCCAGGTTGCTCCAAGCCCCGTCCAACCTGGCCTTGGACACTTCCAGGGATCCAGGGGCAGCCACAGCTTCTCTGGGCAACCTGTGCCAGGGCCTGCCCACCCTCACAGGGAGGAATTTTCTTCCTAATATTTCTTCTAGGGTTGTATTACCAAAAAATACCAGAAGCAGATCACTTGTTCCAAGGCCTGTCAGTTAAACCCAGAGGGCAGTTGGCCCTGAGGGTACTTTACAGCGCAGTAAAAGCAGGATTTAGTGGCTGTATTCCTGGACTCTTCCCACCCCAAACACCAAACAGAGCCCCAGCTGTGTCCTGGAATCCCTGGCCTGGGCAGAACGTGGAGTGTGGCAGGTGGTTGTGCCCTACCCTGCCAATGACTTTTGTCAGCCTGAAGCACAGGATCCACCTGCACCTCTGCTGATCCTGGGCACTGAGCTCAGGAGCCTCTCCAGCTTTCATTGCTCCGTGAAGTTGGGCTAAAAACACTTGGACTTGGACAAGAGGCACAAGACCAGGGAGCCAAGTACAGGGAAGGTCTGAGAGATGAGTAACAGATCCACCTGCCCCAGGAGCTGTGCTGGGGTTTGTCAGACCCCCTTGCACACAGGGCACGAGCTGCCAAGGAACTGCAGAGACAGCTCAGGGCCCTCCTGAAGTGCCCAGCTGGAAAGGAGGGCAGGCCACCCTCTGAGCACCCCGCAGGACAGAGGGATGGAGGAACACAGCTGCAAAGTGACAGCTGCCCACCAGGCATCATCATCCTGCTAGACATGGAACGAGTTCCCCTGGACATCCCTGCTGAACACCACTGTTTCCTGAACCAGTTTCGTGACTGACAGGACTAAGACTAATCCCGTTGTTGGTACCAGACTATCAAATCAACCACTAAACCCCTCCCCACCACATTCTTCTCTTGCAATTTACCTCCAATTCCTCCAAATCCTTTCACAAATTGGGATCCTTCTTGTGATTTGTCTGTAACAATTTCCAATGTTGCTCCAAATTTCTTGTAGTTGTTTGCAAACCACTCCAGGAGGGGCATACTTTCTATCAGTTCATGTTCCTGCCCAGTCTGTGGAGACATCGGAAGGGAGAAATAAATAATAAGAACTGTTCTGGTCGCTGCATGTTTGGTATTGAGAAAATTCACACCAAGAGTTGGCTTTGGCTTCAAAATCACCCCGGTTTTGTCATCCCTAAGAAGGACAGCAGCCTCAATGCTCCGCAGGAAGCTTGGTGGTGGAAGGCATTCCTGATACAACTGTGTTAGACAAGTGTTGGCTCAAGCAGAAGGCTCCTGGGGCTATAAAATCAAACACTGACAGGCCTTGTTTTGGGCTTTCCTAATCTGGAACTCAGGGCAAAAGCCAGAGAGAAAATGCCTTGTTTGTTCTTCTGCTCAAGCGTCACCTCATGCTACACTCCCATTTTCATTGTTCCTTCAGACTTGCTCTCCACCCTGCAAAGATTCCAGCCCGCTCCAGGAGGCACTGCTTCCAGCCAGGAACACTGAGCCATGCAAACACAGAGCCCAAAAAGCACAGCTTTGTAACTGGAAGGTCAGAAACACCTCACTGCAGGTAACACTGCAGACCTTCCGCGCACAGAAGGAACCAGCAGAGAAAGCAGCTGGAAATGGCCCCCCTGGCACAAGTGTGATGGGTCAGAGATGCCCACCCTTTGGGCAGGGGACAGACTTTCTGCCCAGTTTACTCTGCAAAGTGACACAGACCCCCCCACCCCATCAGGGCTTTCTGACCTGCCCAGGCAGGAAATGACAGCTCCACACATCAAATACATCCCAAAGCAAACACTGCCCTGAACCCGTGTCATGCTCTGTAACCTCACACTGGTTCTGCACAGACCGAATCAGTGCACAGGGAGCAGGGAGCAATGCTTGGGACCCTGGCCTGCATGGCGGCCACCAAACTCCTGCAGCAGATGGTCTGAAGGTGGCCAGAGCCCCTGCACTGCCTGTCACCTCAGCCCATTCACACAGCCCTGGAACTGGCAGCAGGGAAGACTGGAGAAAAGCAAGTCTGGAGTCCAGGGGCTACACTGGAGGGGAACAGGAGGAGCCACAGGTATTGCCTTGAAGCCTCACGGGAGTGCCAGAAGGTCACCACGTGAAGCTCCTGGGCTTGTGCCAAACCAAGCCTGGATGTGCAGAGCCTTGCACCACTGACTGAGAACAAACCCACAAGCCCCAAAGCTGGAATACCTCCTTATCTGTGAAGTGGGATTTATCCTTCTCTTGTTCTGGTGTCAAATACAGGATCTTCTCCTCTGAGAAACAAGAAAAAAAGTAGTGTTAGGTTGGATAAAGGTACCAGATGCAGGTTTAAAGGCAGCAAGACACTGAGCAGAGCCAGCAATTACAGCTCAGAGGGTCTGGTCACTGGCACTGCCCTCCTTTCCAGCTGAAGCTCTCTGAGCAACCCCAGAGGGCACAGCAGCAGGAACAGCTGTAGTGCCAACACCAGAAGAGGGAGAGGCCCTGCTGTGGGCACAGGGTTTGTCTGCAGTCACACAATGGTGCTGCTGGCCCTAAGGGTCATACCAGCCTCCCCTCTGGCATCACTTTCACAGCTGGAAGGCAGGTGCCAGGCTGGCCCTGTGACAAACTGCCACCCTGGCACTGCCAATTCCCTTGCTGCAGGACTGTCCCCCGGAGCTGGGACACTGCAGGTCAGTGACCTGCCTACACACCCTCCCTGAGATCAGATCTCCTTAGGGAGCTCCTGCAGAGCTCCTCTCTGTATCTGGGACACAGCTGAGATGTCAAACCCCAAGGCCCCAGTCTCCCAAAGCATCACCTACCCTCCGTGCCTTGGCAGTGCAGGACATATCTCATTATATCCAGGTTTTCATAGACTATCAGGATCTCTACTGCTCCCATTTCCAAAGCTTTTAGTGTATCTTCCACACCAAAGCAGTACTTGCCCGTGTCCTGACTGATTTCATCGAAGTATCGTCCTGCAGCCAGGGCACAAAGAAAGAGACTGTCACCAGCACCCCTCACACCACACACACTGTGAGACAAGCTTCATTTGAGTGCAAGAAGAAGAAACTGTCACCAGAAGCCCTGGAACTAAGGCAATCTCCGGTGGAAGGTCAAAGAGGGTGAAAGGAAAAGGGGAGAAAAAAAATAAACAAACCACCCCTCGCTACCCCTCCCAGTATTTGAGGTGCCCAGGTGGCAGAAAGGATCACAGGTCACGCTCTCAGCCACCAGGGCAGGGCTGGGGCAGCCCAAAGGCACTGCCAGGAGGCTGAAAGATGACCAGCATATTCAGTCACACGTGCCTGGCTCAGGAGGAGGCTGCATGTGCAGCACTTACCTATTAGTTTTTTCTCTTGGATGAATTTCACATTGGAGAGGACCTCAGTTGACAACTCAATCGCTTGATTGAACCCATTTTCTCCTCCATAGGAAATGTCAACTAGTTTGAGCACTTTGGATTGCAACCTCTAAACAAGGGAAAGAGGAGACAGGGACAAATAAATACACAAATCAATCTATTCCAGAGCAGGGCCATCAGATTCCTTCATCCCACTGCAAGAGCACAGGCCTGGCAAGAGTCACTGCATTCCTCTATTGGGCTTCACTTGCAAGCACAAGCTCTGAGTCAGAGGGACCTCTGAGTGCACAATACTGAACCACAGTTTTCAGGCAACAAACAAGATTTGGTTTATTGGAGTTCAATTCCTATAAAGCTTCTCCTTCAGATTTGGGGGAGACAAAGAACATGAACACTATTTCCAAACCAGGGAGGAGAGACTTCTTACAGGCACTGTTTAAAGGAAAGGAGATCTCCTGCAAGGAGGGATTAGGAAAGGGAGAGCTCTTTGGATACATCACATTTTTAGCCCTGGTCCAATCCCTTCAGACACAAGAGAAGCACCTGAGAGCAGTGCCGACATCACCACGTCACTACAACAGCTCAGACAGGGGGGCTTCGCTCGGGAAAGGCACTCACCTGATCAAACATGTCAGACTGGCTCAGCTCAGTTTTGAAGTCAGCCGAGCCAGCCAGGACGAGCCCGGCCACGTTGACCTTGTCCCCGGAGATGAAGAGCTGCACGGCCGTCTCGGCCACCTTGCGCACGTAGTTGTGCCGCTTCTCCATCCGCAGGCGAGCGAAGCGCAGGGCGGACTGACCCCCCCGACCTGCACGAGAGAGCTGAGCCAGCCTGGGCACCCTCTGCGCTCCAGGAGGGGCAGGAGGATGTGGGCCCAACCAGGAGAGCAAAGCCAAGGGCAGCTGCAGCCTTCAGAATCAGTCTGCCACAAGCCAAGCCGTGACACTCACGGAACAGGCAGCCAACAGAGAGAGTTCGTTCACAGCAAGAGATTTTGCTCCACGTATCCCATAGAGAAAAACGTGGTGATTTTCTTTTCTTTCTAGACAGACTCACAGCTCTACAGAAACTGAACATCTGTGCACGTTCTGCATGGCCTGGACCTGCCTCTCCTTTGGTGCACTGCTGCTGCAGCGAGCCCTGCAGTCTGTGCTGCACAACCCAGTAAGGACGTTCCTATTTCACTTTGTCCCATCCCACCCTCCACAGGACAGGAGCCCAGGAATACCTGACAGTCACTGCCTGCCTACCCCACAGCATCATACAGTGGAACTCAAATTTTCCTTGCTCCATGAGGCTTCTGTGCTTCTTGCAGGGAACAACTCCCTGCTCTTCACTGAGGTTTGCACACACCACCATGGGATGCAAACTTTAAGAGGTTCTGCCAACTGGGATTATACTACCTGTGCTATTAACATTTCATCAAAACTGTCCCAAAACCAAGGAAAGGCTCAAATGCACCCAGAAATAAAAAGTGCCAGTTTTAGGATGAGCTGCATGTTACCATGATTCATTAATTCTGACAGAAGGTTCAGACTGGAGGCTTTGCTGTCAGATTCCAAGGAAGCAAAGACTTGAACAGAGCTAAACCCCTACAGGCCAAGTTCCCTGCTTCCACCCCCACATCCCACCCCAGGACACGCTGCTGCAGACAGTCTAGAGGCAGACTGGTGTGTTACCATGCTTCTTTGGAAGATCCACAGTGAATTTGTGCAGGACTTCTCGTGTGTTTCCTTGCAGGGTTCCAAAGAGTGCCCCACTGCCATCTATTACAATAAAGCCAAACTTGCTGTCGTCGGAGAGCAGCGCCGTGAGGGCCTGGAACAGAGCAGAGGTGTCACTGAGCACAGGGGGGTGAGGGACCCTGGCTCACACAGGCCACCACAGACAGCACAGCTCCACCAATTTTACTGCTGTGGGTGGTCACTGCCGTCTGTTTTACAAATAAACTACAGGAGGAGCAGCAGGTTGAGGAGTTGTGACTATTCCAGACCACTACAGAATGGTTTGGGTTGGAAGGGACTTTAAAGATCATCTTATTCCAGCCCCTGCCATGGGCAGGGACACCTTCCACCAGCCCAGGTTGCTCCAAGCCCCGTCCAACCTGGCCTTGGACACTTCCAGGGATCCAGGGGCAGCCACAGCTTCTCTGGGCAGCCTGTGCCAGGGCCTGCCCACCCTCACAGGGAAGGATTCCTTCCATACACAACCCAATCTCACACAGCACTGTCAAGAGCACAAAGGAAACTCGAGTTCAATTTTGATCACTGTTTCCCAGCCTTGCCAGTTCCTCCCCTGAGGGGCAGGTGTGACAGCACAGCCCCAGAGAAGGGCTCAGGGCAGTGAGAAGTGAAATGATCACACCTACAAGGCTGCAGCATCTCCCTGGTGGCCACAGCTGGAAGAGTCGTCTTCCCAGCACTCCAGTCAGGAAAGCAGAACTTGTTCAGCTGACTGTCAGGTCAGTTTTGCACTCCAAAGCACTGACACAGCCTCTCAGTTCACCCCTACCACAACTACTGGGCTGCTGCACCTGCTGACTTGGAGCCCCACAGGCAGAATGATTAAGTCTGTAGTGTCTGTGGCAGATTCAGCCTCACAGAACACAAATTACAGCAGCAATAGTTGTTGTGTGCATAACTGCTTAGGGAGAAGACACTCATAACATTTGCTGCAAAATGAACTTATCCTTCCACTTTCTTCCCTGTAAAGGAGGCAGCTGAATTCATCCCATAAGGTCATTTAAGTTGACCAACAACTGAAGTTGCTGGCACAGTATCAAGGGGTTTGAGTTACTTTTGCCCAAATTCCTGCCCAGCCCTGCTTCTGGTGTTGTGGGACATGCAAAAGCACCCCACCTTAAATTCCCTTTTCAAGGGAATCTGTCAGCAACTGCTGCCTCAAGGGCCACCTGAGCAGGTAGAAACATCCAGCACACACAGTCCTTCTCATTCATACATGCCCCCAAAAACTAATAGCCAGAATCCCCTTTCTGACTGGCAAACCTTCACCAGCAGGATGGAGAACTTGTTTAACTCCAGACTGCTTTAAGTCACCAGTTTAACACCGAAAGTGATGGTGCTGGTTTACTGCACAGGCCCTTCAGCCTGCCTGCCTGATTACTGGGCTGAACTGAAAGGATAAAAAACATCAGTCATCCTCTTCCAAAATCCACAAACCAAGCTGCAGCTTTCAAGCTTCAAAGAAACAGGCACTAAGGTTTAATGGAATCTCCTGGCCAAAATAAATATTCTGTATTAATTCCCCAGCAGAGGGATGAATGAGAGGAGGAAGTGGCATATTACATTGCAGCTGGGCCAGAGCCAAGCAAATCGTGTGACTGGAATGAATGTCCCAGCCAAGGCACCAAAGTCAGTCACTGTGAGCCCTGCCCCTCGGACCCACCGGGGCTCTGCTCCCCTCGGGGGGGTGCTGTGCTTTCACACAGCCAATACAACACCCAGAGCAATGCTCAGCAGATAACTCCTGCCAGGCAGCAGCTCTGTTGTTCTTGATTCCCTCTTATTTTAATACAGCATCCAGTGATCAGTGGTTCCCTCAGTCTCCCCTCTGTCAGCAATTCCACTGTTTGACCTATCAAGCACCAAAAAGAGACTACTGCTTTTGTTCTGTTCCCACAGCCTGGACTGAGTTTCCTCCTTGCAGCTTTAGCCTGAAGGTGAAGATCACCTTTTCCTGCTCCTTCACACAGCCTCCCTTTCCTAGGAAATCCGTGGAGCACAGAGCCAGCTGCCCTGTTAGCTCAGGGTACACACTGGGGGAACCACTGGGTTGAAGGCATTGCTCCCCAACCAAAGAGGGCTGATGCCACACACCAGCACCACTGCCCCTGGAGCTGCCTCCTGGGAACAGCCCATTCAATCAGTGCCCTGAGGCAGTAGGCCCAGTAGAGGACACCAAATTAATCCCTCTCCTGACAGGGCAGAAGGAAACCCGCCCCTTTCCCACTGCCAACACCTCCCTGGCTCTCTCCTGAATTCTCTTATTTACCTCTTGCTTTCACTTGCCTGTGGACACAAGGACTCAGCAGAGCTCTAAATCTGGACCTGTGCACGGGTTTGCATTCCTGGGAGGCCAAAGAAGTGTCGGGATTTCATCCTTTGTGGGGACACAGAATAGCAGGGATGTACCTCACCTGTTCCTTCCTGTACTCCTACCCTTTAAAAGCCAGTAATGGATTAGATCTCCAAAAACCCAAGCAAACAAGCAGAACTACCTCACTGAGGGGCCTGTCAAGCCCATGTCACATGGGTTTGACAACAGGCATTTAAGTCTCAGCCCACACATTCACTGTGGTGAACACCATGGACGTGGGGGGCACGGTGTGCTACAAACACTGAGACCTCTGCACCTGCCAGGGCCAGAACAGAGGCAATAAACTGACTGCTGTAATCCACATTACCTTAAATATGCCTCAAACCATTCATTTAACTTCATTAGAGGGTGGATAAAAATAATCCCACTTTATCCCCGACAGATGAGGCACATGCCAGTTCTCCATCAAGGGTCTCAGTTAACACATCTGATATCAAGACTGGCAACACTGATAATTACCTTGGCAGTACTTTAAGGCCTGGCTTGGAATAAGATCTCTGGGCCTGTGCAGTTAAGAAGCTCCCTGCCTCCAGTTACAGAGAGGAGCTTGTGTCTCAGCAGCCATGGGCTGGGCCATGACATCAGTGCGGCAGGAGCTGGACGGTGCCTCAGCTCCTTTCAGCAAACATCACACATCTGTGGCCAGGCACACGCCCTCCCCAGGGGATGTGCTCCCAAAAGCCTGTTGTTCCAGGGGCTCAGCACACCCAGCTGGGCCCAGGGAGCCCAGCAGAGCAGGCTGACTTCGCTGCTGCAACAGGGGAGTTCTTACCTCAGTGTGGAATTTGTTGTCACACAAATACAACGACGTGTTGATTGGTTTGAAAGGTTCAAAGTCAATGTTGACCTTCTTCTCTTTTCCTTCTTCTGTCACAATTGTTCCACAGTAAACAACCAGACCATTTGGAGGTACTATAAATGACACAATGCAGTTTTAGTTCACTAAGAAACATGGTAAGATGCACCCATCACAAACTAACTGCCAGACCTGAGACTTATGGCAGAGTTGAAATAAAGTTCCCAAATCTTTAACTTTCCCTTTCCCCACCTCATTCCCTCCCAGAGCTCTACAATGGAAAACAAACTCATTTAGTGCACCTAAGCCTACGATGGTCTGTTAAACCCAGGAGCTTGCAAACTCACAGGACCCAGAAAAAGGCTGAACAGCCCCATGGAGCTTTCCTAGTCCTCATACAGAGATTTACAGACTGACCATCCCAAGGAAGGCCACATGCCAGTGTAAAGGCAATAATGAACTCTTTCAGTGCTCATTTTGGATGGTCTGGGTCTGTTCCCTCCCAAATGATGGCAGCTGCACAGTGCACAAGGCACACAGAAGTCTCTGCTTGATGCGAAATCACTTTAATGCAAATGAACTATTGTGGAATAAATAGCTCCTACATCTGGCCAAGTTTAGCAGAGTCAGCACTGCTAAGGACAGAATCATGAGCCTGCTTATGAGAGACAAGGACCACCATACTATCCTAGTCCCAAAGTCCACCCCTGTAGTAGCCATCCAAGGGCAACATACCTGGAATATCAGTGCAAAACAGCAGCACAGGCCAACAGATTTGATTAGCAGAAAACTGCATAGTGCAGGAACTTAAGGCTGCTTCCAAGAAAGGGAAGTGTGCCAGCATCCATACAAGCTAGAAGTTACCTTTGTTATAGAGTTTCAGTCTTTGCTGTACAGATGTAATGGCTCCCAGTACTGAAAGGCGATTCACTCGAGACTTAATGTTGGAGGCAGTGCCAAACTCGTCCGCCAACATTTTCGCCACTCGCGAGATCTGGTCTTTGGGGGGAATGATCAGTGATATCATGCTGGTACCATTGCTGAGAAGGGAAAAAAGAGAGGGGTTGTGAGCAGCCAGTAGCCAAAGCAACAAGTGTACCCACACAATATTCCATGCATGCCGTTGTCTCCCATCCCTCCTGCCCAACCCCAGGGACGCTTCTTCACTGTTACCGGTACAACTCCCCTTGTGCTGGACAACAACGGGAGAGAAAAGAGAACAAACCAGGCTCTTCAGAGGATTTGACTCCATAACCCAGTGGTCAGGTTTGCCACTGCCAAGCAAGTCCCCCAAAAGCTGTTTGTTAAACCTGGGATACTACTCTAGGAAAAGAAAGAACACATGTGCTGGCTAAGGCTGGGAGCTGAAGGCATGGAAGGCATGGGAGCAGCTCCCAGCAGAGATTATTTAAAACAATGCAGCCACATACTTTAAGGACCATTCCATTTGTTCTCAAACAGTTGGAGCACCAGGCAGTCCAAGCGCTGTTTTAACACTTTGTTTTCCTCAGATTAACACAGAAAACAAAACTGGAAGGATCCCTTTGCCTCAGTCAGCCTCTTCTATCTCCCCACTAGCACCCTGCTCCCCAGCTCTGAACTGAACTGTGCTTAAGCACATGACTGCTGGTTCACAAGCACCATCCCCAGGCATGGAGTCAGGAGATAAGACCCCCACAAATCACAGAAAAGGCTTAAATTACATGAAAATAAGTAAATTTGATGTTAGTTTTTCCTATGGCTTTGGGGTGGATCCTAAGGCAGAGGTCTTAATCCCCAAAGCCGCCTCGTGGTTCAAACCCACTCAAAGCCAGAAGGAAAACTGGGGAAGTTTCCATCCCTTCCAGCAGGTACCTCCCATTTCCCACTGAATTATCCCAGATGTCTGAAGTGCTGCTTCTGCATTGTCTCAAATTTAGCCCAGACCTCATGCTTCCCATTAGAGTAATGGCACAAAAATCAAACGCCTCATGGAATCCTCCAGCCCTCTCTCAAGGGCAAACCAGCTAAGCTCTGTGAAAAAACCTCTTCTCAGGATTCTGAGTCAGAGAACCAACAGAGTGCTTTTAGGACATCAAAAAAAAAAAAAAAAAGGGCTTTGCTCTTTTACATTTCTTAGGGGAGGAGAAGACTAACACAGCCCCTGCCTGCTGCTGTTCCAGACCGTCACGCACTGATGTCCTGCCTCGAGTGTTTGGGCTACAGAGGCAGCAGGGAAGTGCTTTAAAAAGCATCACTTCATTAGCCTCTTTACAGAAGTTGTACAGCCCTCTCCCAAAGATCTTCAATCCAGGCCAAGTTGAAACAGATGCCGGTAGGTCAAATAAGTCCCTGACCCCAAAGACGACTAATTGGTTTTAATATCCGAGATCCCCATCCACACTAATCAAGAAAGTCCCAAAGAGACACTTGCCCATGATATTCCCAGAAGGAGCTTTGAGCCACACTGACAGCTCTTGGGCTTCCAGGTCACACCAGCCAAGAACACTCCAGATCCCACTCAGTTAAAGCAGTTGGGTACCCAGTGAATGGCACCAGCCTTAGGGCAGAGATAATGGCCTATCACTCCCAGCAGGCTCTGGCTGATCAGAATGAAAGCAACTCTTCCTAACTCCCCTGAAAGTAGCACTCTGATCTCCTCCTCTGAAGGAAGAAAGGCTCGGACTTCCCAGAGATTAGAACATCACACCCAACCTCCTGCATCGACTAAGGGCATCCCAGTGTGGCAGGTGGGTGCTCCCTGGCTCTCCTGCCAGGAAGAGATTTCAGGCAATTTTTCCTGAATTGAGGACAGAGGGGAAAGAGCAGACAGTCATGTCACTGGCTGCCTGGGAGAAGAGCCCCTGCCACCTGCATCTCCTGCCACGGAGCTGCAGAGCCAGAGGGTCCCCCTGGAACCTCTTTTTCTCCAGGCTGAGACCCCTCAGCTGCTCCTGGTGCTCCAGCCCCTTCCCCAGGTTTGTGAACAGCAAGAAGGAAGGCTGGGTGTGCCCTCCCAAGATCAATCCTTCAGTAAAAAAGCACTTGTAAAGCTACCTTCAGTTTTTAAATGCAGGGCAGCCCTCAGCTCCCAGCCCTGGCCCCGTGCTGTGTCCCACTGCCCCAGCACTGAGCACCCTTGGGATCACCCTGGGGTTTATTTGTACCACACACAGCACCTTATCTACAGAGCAGAGCCACATCCCTGACCCAAGGGGACACACTGGCCTTCACAAGCCCTCGTGATTTATTCCTGCAAACAAACAAACCCAAAGGGTCTCTCAGATGCTGCACTCCCCCTCATTGAAATCTCAGACTAGTTCAACACAGCACTGTGCTTGGTCTAACCCTTCAGCAAACTCCAGCCTGGATTTATATCCAAAAGCATCTTCTACTACCAACACCAAGAGCACCTCTTGGCTTTGCCACGCTTTCACCACTACAGAGCCAAAGCTATTTTTGGCTCTACCCAGTTCCTGCAGAATCCAGCAAAATAGCTGGTGTGCAGCCTGCACACCATGGCATCCCAGGCTGCTGGAAGCCTGGAGCACCAGGAGCCAGCCAGCCTGGCACCAGTGTCCCTGGGCACCCGAGGGGGGAGCCCCTGCCACTGCCCGCAGGGCACAACCCAGCCACGCAGCTCATTAGGCAGCCAGATAATTAGGCAGCCAGGTAATGGAGGGCACAGTCAGCATCCCCTGCTTGTCTCCCTCTTCCTCCAACAAGCACAAGGTCAGGACCTGGTCACTAAACATCCCAGAATGGTCGAGACCAGCAAGAGGCCAGCTGAAGCAGATGGGCAACAGGAATCAGGACAGCTGCAAAACTCCCTTACACACCACTTGTTATCCTACTATGGAAGGGCATTTTTCCCCTCTCTCCTCCCCTCTCTATGTGACCTTCCTGCAGGATGGCAAGGTCTAAAAAAACCCTGTGGTTGCATCTGCTGAACTCACCAGTGAGACAAAACCCAGCAATGAGTTTCTAAGAAAGCTGCCGTTCAAAAATGCTCAGAGAAAACTGGGTTATTCTGCAGAGTAAGACAATATCCAGGTCTCCTCTGGGTCTCTGCAGCTAAACGAGACGACAGGTATTTCTGCAAATCCCATCCTGCCCCCCTGGCTGCTGCGAGATGAGCTGCCACAGGTTCAGGAATGTACTTACCTGGGAACGAGTCAGGTATTTCCCCTGAATCACCCTCAGGTCTCCCAAAAGGGGTCTTTCCAGAGAGCAGAGCCAAATCCCATGGGCTCTGCTGAGTGTTGGGCACAGGGGATGTTCCCAACCTGGCCCCACACGAGCTGCCAGACACACCTGGCACTGTGGTGAACTAAGTCCCCAATCCAGGGCAATGCTCACACTGGTACTTGGGATCCAGCATGGAATGAGCTGCTTCTTCCCTGGATCACCCTCCGTGCTCCTAAGGCAGGATGGACCCAGTTCCACATTCTATCCTGCTCAGCACAGTCCCAGTTTCCCAGCACTGCTAAGGTTTCCCCCTGGTTTAGGACAGCTCTGCCAGAGCAGCTGGAAGCTGATGCTTCCAGACAGCAGCGAGCCAGGGAGATGGCAGCACGACAGACACTTGCTGTCCCTATTCTGGGCTGGAGTGCCTGCACAGCAGCCAGAGAGCTGCCATTATCATCCAAGGACGTGATGCTCGGCAGGAAAGGGCACCCCAGACACAGCCCAGCACAACGTGGGCCACTGCACATGGCCCTGGGGAGGGGAAAACAATCAGCAGCACGCAGGGCACCAGCCCACACACTGCCAGGACCACGGGGGCAGTTAGGTGCCAGCTCTGGGAAGGCAGAAGCCCTGTGCTGCCTGGCACTGTGGGTACTGCTCACTGTGCCAGCCCTGCCAGGAACTGGCAATTAGCTCGCATTTATCACTGCCTGGAACAAGCAGCACTAGGTATCTCTGGGATAG